AAAAATATTTTCGCAAATATATAATTTAAAGTCTCATTTGGTGACATTTTGCATGGTTTTCTTTCTGAAACAACTGCATTCACCATTCTTGTAAATCACGTTTCAATTTTTTGTGCTTGTTTGCTACTATTGTTTGGCAGCAAATGCTGGTGTTGGCAAAGATATTCATCTAGTCCAGACAAACATCTGATATTTTAATAAATAAAGAACATTTGCAAGGCTGTCTATGAACAAAATCAAAGTAAAAAGAACGATTCCCAGTTGGCATATACAAGTAGTGCTCTTTAAAAAAAAAAACCATTTTAACTTTGACATTGACTCCAGCAACACATTAACTGTCTGAAACCAGTTAATTATTATAATTTCTCCCTGCTGTATACCCGATTATCACAGCTTTGTGGTGTGAGGTCAAAGCACAAAAAATAATTTTGCATAATTGTTGTTTAATAGTGCTAATTAACACAAGCTTGAAAAATACCTGGATGTCACCAGTGAATAGACACATTATGGGCTAAGAGATCCTTACAGTTCTCCCAATGCTCTGTGCAGGCTGCAACTGTATAAAAAAATACATATATTCGTATATAAATATCATAATAATAGTTATGTTGAAACGAAATAAAACAAAATAGCACTCCAACTCTTTTAATACCCAAACTGCATGGTTAGCAGCACGTCTTCACAAATTGTTGCTTTACTTCACTGCTTTAAATGTCTGTGTAATGTTTTGTCCTACTCCACCGTCCATGCTTTCATGGTGTAACCGTCTAGACGCGAGGACACTTAAAACGTGTGCATGTGGCTCTGAAAACTTTCACTGCCTCATGTGCAATGGCTCTAATTCAGCACCCAGCTTGATTAGCTTGGGGTTGCAAGTAATGACCCGTGACCAGGAGGTGTTTTAACTTGTGGTTTGTAAATCAATATTACATTAAAAGGACCTGCTTTTATGTCTCTCACAACTCTCCAGCTCATGTTTTATAGTCTTTGTGGTGTTTAGTGCTAAAGCTAACCTCTTAGGTAAAGCTTTCAGTTTCATAGATGAAAAAGATTGGTGTGGATGTTTCGCGGATTTGATTTCACTTTGTGCAACTGGATATTATCAGCCAGCAATGCCATAAAACAGAGAAAGACGATTTGTTATATTTGAGTATGCGCGCCATTTACATGCTTTGCTTCCTTTTCGCTCATAACATCCTGGAAGTACGTTACTTTGAGAAATGTCCTGCCCTGCTATGATCCTGAGGTCTTGCCCTAATAATTTTTTATCCTCCGTCTCTCAGGGATGAGCCCACATCTGTCTCCGGTCACTATTTACACGCTCTTTCACCATAAAGTACTCCAAGTCACACATGTACCCAAAGACAAACACACACGCACACACACACATCCTCCTTCTATCTCATGCCTAATTCAAACCTCCCTTATGAGTCCCTTGACAGATCCACACAGAGTCAGCTCAACACATGCACACAGACATTCAATCACTGGAAAGCAGCGCAGGCCACATATAAATCCATCTAGTAAAGCATCTTCCAGACCGTTCCCAATGCGAATGAGATGTCCCAAAGCCTTTTGGTGTTATCTGGCCTCTGCAAAGGCAATAATGTGATCTATACCCTCTAATTGTTGCAGGGGGAGGTTTTAAAAGCACATTCTGGATAGGCTAAAAGGACAAATAAATCCTACAGCTTGCGGTTTGCTTATAAATCCTCACATTCTATCCTGTTTCCTGGATTGCAATCTTGCTGCAGGATAGGGACAACTTTGAAGATAAATCTTTGTGGCTTCTTTATAGGACAAAAAACCTATATTTACATTTCACGAAAGAATGCACAATGAACATCAAAAAGCATAATTTTGCAGAATACAAAGCGTAAGAATTCACAAGTGCTGTTTGACCTCTGTCTGAACGGCTGGCAATTATTTATTAGTTTTCCCTCTCTCTTTCTCGCTTTCTTGATGTCAGTATAGAATATGTAGCTCCCTATCAAGTCTGACCAGTCTGGGCAGGTCTGGCGTTCGTGTCTGCTCTCTACAATAGCTGGTTAGCCATGTCTGACATCTGTGGCACCCCACGGTCAGGTTGAATGCAAGGTTGAATAATGTACCAGAGCTACTCGGCTGCAGGAGCCACTCTGCTCTGCCTCTTCTGGTTTCTGAATCTGTGACGTATTGAAATCACCAAAACACAAATTTTCTCAAAGCTCACCTATGAAAAAACTATTTGGTAATCAAAGCAGACATAATTAATGTGTAACATTAACACTGAAACAGTCACATGTGTGGTGAGAAGCTACTACTCGGATCTAGATCTTCTTTGCTATATGAGGTGCATCTTTTGAATACTTTGCTAGAATTTTAGTGTTTCCGTTCACTCTTATGGTAAACATTAGCATTGTTTTTGATAACAGGAAACAGCTGTTAAAAGAAAAAAAACTCTATAAGCAGATAGCAAAAGTAAGTGTCAGAGTATATGTAAACAAAGCAGTGCAACTGTCACTCTCTTTGTGAAGTCGGGCTTAAATTCATCAGGTGGCAAGAAACAAGATGATAATTTTGAGCCTTACTTACTGAAGATAGGCAGCTTTTAGTTGTGGAAGTTTATGGTGTCAGAAGATCATATGCAAAAGGTGGGACTGTCTTACAATGTAAAGCATATGACACCATGCTGCTTCACTGTCAGTCTGGAAGAATCATTTCCATCTTTCCCTCCACCACAGGGTGCTGACCTTAAGCTGACCTCCGAGCCAGCGGCTGGGGTGTTAATGTTCACCCTTGCTAGGGTCACATCCAGCATGTTTATTTTATGACATGGTAGAGGGGACCTCAGAAGGGAGTGTGGCCTCAGCACATTGACCCCCAAGCGCATTACAAAGGAGGCTACTGAGCTGTAAAGGCCCTGTTCTTATGCCCAATCATGTAGTTTAACTGGTCTAGGCCAGAGCAGCAGAGGACTTCTGTCTAGTGCAGTAGCATGATAATAAAAAGCCCTTAAGAATGCTCAGGTGAATCAAATAAAATCAGTGTTATGATGTAAAATGAATAAAAGTGCCCACTAGGTTGTACTCAACATGACTCACCTCTTGTAAAAGAAAAAAAATACTTACAGACTTTCTATTTTTATTTCATTTTATTTAATAGAGGGGTTGCTTAAAAACAAAATCCCAATTTTTTTATCCATAATTTTTGCTATGGCTATAACACAGACTCAAGAATTCAGTGTGTAATTTCTGTTGAAGATTCAGTTCAGCACATTTAAATGCAATTCAAATATTTATTGTCCGGTATAAAAATTTGGTTTGCAAGCAAGGTTAAAAAAAACAGAACAAACCACCATATTTTATACTATGCAAACATGCATCAAAGACAGCAGGGACTGCTGAGGTATGCACCAGTGCTGCTTTGCATTTGTTGTCATGCTGTGAGAAGAAATCAAAAGACAAGAAAGACTAGAAATGTCATCGCTGATTGCAGAAAGTTGACTGTAAGTTGACTTTCCTTTCACGCAAGCTTCAACGTCAGAATCCCACCTGTAGCAAAATGTTTCCTTAAATGTACATTTGCATTTGTTTGAACATGAATGTAAGGCTGTGTGCCTGCACGAGTGCCAGCTACGTGCACGCATCACTCAGAAGAGAATCCTTTGGCCATATTTCCAATTCTGCTCAATTTCAGCAAGAATCTCAGTAATCCCACTGAAGAGCTGCAGTTCTCCCACAGTGACATCCCATAATGGCACTAACACCAGAGTGGTGGGCACCCAGTTACGACTCCCAGGCTCCATTCGGTGCACGTTCCCAATCTCCCAACCTGTCTGTATGCAAACAGAGCCCCCTCAGAGGAGAAAACTGATCTGGCAGCCTTTCACTGAGCCCTGTGTAGACATATTTAATGCCTCAATAACCACTGCTTAAGACAGAGTGATGAACGCCAGGGGCTTTCATTACTCCGAGAGGCTTTTTTTCCCTGTGTCTGTGTATGTGCGTGTGTGTGTGAGAGTGAGAGTGAAAGAGAGACTACAGTGTGTAGCTAAATAAATGTTTTGCCTTCATTTACTGATTGAGAAATTCAAGCTGCTTTTGTTTAAGGAAAAAAATACAAATGGCACTGCCTTTGATGTACCAGAACCATATGTCTTGCTGATGAATTAGCACAACTAACCCGATAAAGCTGCTACTAATCTGTCTTTCTGCATTACAAATTTACTCTGCGCTTAACATTTTACAGGTTGCAGACAGCAGATACACGAGTGAAGGCTCAGGCCTTGTGCAAGATAATCAAGAAACAAAACCGAAGCAGATTCAAAATTTGAGATCATGTGAATTTTGATTGGGATAAAAATAGAATGTGCTTGTTAAGTGAAGTTATTCAACCACCTAAGGGCTTGTTTCCATGTGGCGTCAGTGTCAGGGAGGTGTAGAGGCAGGCAGTTAAATTCGGTGAGCTGTGTCACAGCATCAGAGCTGCAGCTTATTCATTCCTCGCATGCAGCATGTGCACACTGTGAGGCAAAGCAGGCGCGTTCCCTTAGGTACAGTTCCTGTACAAAAACAAATATAGATTCATATGAATGCAAACTACTGAAAGCCAATTCAATTCAGGTTTATTTATATAGTGTCAAACCACAACAACAGTTGCCTCGTGGCACTTCATACTGTAAGGTAAAGACCCTACAGTATTTGGGAGATAACTCCAACAATCCAGTGACCCCCTATGAGCAAGCTCTTTGCGACGGTGGGAAGGAAAAACTCCCTTTTAACAGGAAAAAACCTGCAGCAGAAACAGGCTCAGGGAGGGGCAGCCAACTGGTTAGGAGATGACGACCAGGGGGAAAAGAAGAAAGAGAAGTAAAAACAAAGAGAGAGCGCATAGAGAGACAGGACAAAACACAGACTAAGGGACAGAGAAGAAAATTGTAATGGCATGCCACAGTGGTATACTGTAGAAACACATGAGGAGTGACAAGAGGTGAGTGGAGAAGAAGAAGTGGTGCTTACCTGAGCCTTTGGTCTCAATGTGCTCCATGGAGCTGAAGCATGCGATTAGGCAGCCCAGTCTCAGAGAGTCCAGAAGATGTTTGTCCTTCTTTAATCTGATGAAAGGTGGAGATCCTTTGTTGTAATTCAACATAGCCTAGCCATCAAGCTAAGAACAAAAATAAAAACAAGTTAAGTTGCTTCACAGACTGTCTCATAGTCAAATTACTAATTTCCCAGTTTTAACAGTTTAATAAAAACACAATAGTTTAATAAAAAAGCTTAAAGAAGTGTTCAGAACCGATTAAAAAAGGTAGTAAAATTAACTTTTGCCAAAACTTAGTAAAACAATAAATCCAGAACCTGCTGCCAAGAGAACGCCAAAAGAAAGCTAGCATACGCACAGATAAGATGGAGATAGGGCGAAACGATGGGAAAGCATAGCTCCCATAAGACAGAATGGAATAATTTGTTTATTTATTCTATAAAGAAAGTTGTTTTCATTTAGATCAAATCCTAGTCACACTCCATTAGCTCCATCTGTGGGTTGTTTCTGTTTTTCTTCCACTTTGGCAATGATGACAAGAACGCCCAAGAGGAAAGTCTTTCTTTCCCCAGACACTCATCACCTAGAGAAAGAGAGTGAGAGCTCATGGAAGGATCAATGTGTCTGCACAGGAAACTGTGTAATGTTAATCACAACTTTAATTTGGGCTGAATTAGCATTTTGATGAACTTGTGGGGCTGACTCGTGTACTCTAAGCACCTTCAAATGCAACACGCACGGAGGAAATGGCAGTATGGTTAATTAACGCTCGCACACAGCAGATGGGCTCAGTGAAGGGCCTGGCAGAAAGAGACACGGAGAGGGAGAATTGATCAGAAAAAGTCACTGTTAATGGGAGAAAAAGAATCAAATATAAGATTTGCCACCATCTATCTCCAAATAAAATGGCTGCTTCAGAACCAACAGCTAGAGATGGTGGGGAGTACTAAATAACATTTCAGTCTTTTAAGGAAAACAGAACACAAAGAGTCAGTAATAGCTTACAGAAAACACAACTGGCAAATCTTGGTCAAACATGCAGCCTGTTTACATATGCCCAGCCGTTTCAATCTCTGAGCACAGAGTGTAACTCAACATGGTGCCCAAGTCTCATTGCCTTGCACTCATTCTGTGAAGTCTTTTACTAACACATTTAGAATTGACTATTTTGAGCTCTCCTTTTTCTTTTTAACATCTCGTTGCCATGCTTCCTATTTCTTATCAGTTTCATATAATTTCCTGAATTTTCTTTGTATTTTTTTTTTATGTCTCCCACAAATAGATGTTAGCTCTTCTATCATTTTCATTCCCTATAAATAATCCAAACTCTGGCTCTACAGTGTCAATTATATATCAATCAAACTGCTGCGCATGGGAGAAATGTGTAAGTTACAGTTGTTGTCAGCATAAAGCTGCTATTAGATTACCGTACTAGGTTCTGAATAATAATTTGTTGGAGTTTCGAATGTTTAAATGAGCATTTTTTAAAAATATTATTGTAGATTATTTTTTCGAGGCAAACGTTTTAGATATTTTTGACTGGTATAAACTTTTAGGTTCATATTTTTGAAAATATTATCTATCTACACAATTACCATTCATTTAAAGAGAAATTACAACATTTAAAACTCAAGACTAAGCAACGTTTTGACCAAATTGAAATTAATGAATTCATTTTCTCCCGGTGGTTACTAACTGTTTGTCTTCCAGGTTTGATTTAGGTTATTTTCTCGCTTGATTTGAAAATCAATTTTCAGAAAGCTGTTAAAAGGAAGAAAAAAATGTCCCCAGTGAAATTCATCTATTATCCAGAGCAGTTAGTTTTTCTCAGAAGATATGTTGATGTAAATCTGAAGACTTTTAAGGAGCATACCAAAGTGTATTTTCAGGGGGTAGGGGGGCAGATAACCACACCTACAGCCAATTTGGAATAACCTAACCCCACAAACTGCATGTCTTTCCACTGTGGGAAGAAGTATCTGTTGATAATCCATGCAGACAACACAGAATGGCCCTGGCCAGATGGTGGATTTGAACCCAGGACCTACCTTTATATAAACTATATCACATCATACATATGAAACCTTATTAACCTAAGAAGCTCTGTATCACATAATACAAAGTCTTTCCTTCTTCGTCATAAATATTTGTGTATAAATATTGGAACTTTTTTCTCAAAGTAATAAGTTATGTTTTCATAATTTTGACTTGTAATCCAATAAAAAGCTTTAATATTATAAATAATAATAAATAAATATCATGTCAGTAATTACTATGTGAATTCATTTTTTTTGTCGGTTGACAAAAACAGGCTTCTATACCAAAAGCATCTGTGCAAACTTTAATAAATTGTCTCAATAGATGTCACTTGGGTCAGGATTGGTTGTGATAAAGTAGATTATATTGAAGAGATAGTGGAGGATCGCATGGTAAATCTATACCTGCATGGCTACAGGTATCTCAAGAGCTGAGTGAGAGAGTGCTTTGCATTGACAATAGTTTATGATGCCCTACTCAAAAACTGATCCCAATCGTGAAAGTGAAACTGTTCTCAGTGTCATTAGATTTGACTACATGAAATGAAGCACCAAAGCCCTCACTGAGAAACACTGACAGGTAGCACTTGTCTAGTCACCTTCTTCCCACCTTTTCCTGGAATCCTTTTTCCAAAACAACCTTCACTAACCTGCCCTCCCGCTCTCAGTTTTTTTTTCCTGCAGTGGAGAACTTCAGGCCTGGCTTCCCACAGAGAGGAATGATTTGTAAAATCACAATAAAAATGGAAAGGCGAGTGAGACTTGGGTGGCAGTGAGGAGGGGTTGGAAGGACAGCAAAGCGAGATCCCCTGTTGTGATGGCCTGTGGTGGGGCATTAACAGGATGTCCAGGCTGGGTAAATCTTCTACCAGCCGCTCAGAACTCATACACTCGGAGAAATTCCCAATCCCTGACAGGTTGTCACTGCAGAGGAGCATACAGAGAGGTGCCTTGTGTTTGATTTGTAGAATATTTTTTGAATGTTTTCAGTTTGTAACAATGTGTTTAAACACCAAATTAGACAACTGTGGAATTCACACAATTTCCATGGAAGTGTGAAGAGATTACACCATGGTGATCTCTGTCCTTTGATATCCAAATAATGGGGGGAAAAATGAAAAGCCAATGATGGGGGTATTTTGAAGGAACGCCTCATTTTTATTATTATAAGATGGACAGGATGCAGTGAAATGGTGTTTAGTTTAAAGAGATGCGCCATAATGAGAGGGAAATAGAATAGGTATGGCCTTGTAGGGATGATAATGAGATCGGGAGAAGCCAGGTAGATAGAAACACCATCCTCTGTTGTCACCCTCCAAGCACCCACTCACCCATCCCCACGCACAAAAGCAAGGAGACAGATATATCTGTTCCCAGGCAGCAGGAGAGTCTCCAATTACGGCAGGATGCAGCATCAATTTGAGGGCTAATTATGTGCGTAATGAGCTCACCGTCATGCGTCCGCGCCCCCGACACCGAGCCCGCTGCTCTAACCAACCTCCCCCCATCCACACGCTCCTTCCTTTCACACCCCCATCTCTCCTTCCTCCATGTGAGCGCCCGGTAACTAATTAAAAAACTACATGCGCCGCGGCGTCTTCATCTGATTCACACCATGGAAATTAATCCTCAGATAAACGTGTTTGACGGACACCCAACCACTGCACGAGCCCTGGACGCGTCGCACCGCTCTCTCAGCCGGGTGTAAACTGTTTTGTATCTGTCTTTTTGTCTTTTTTTTTTAAATAATAATAATCTTGCCTCCGAAATAACTCACGAAACAACTGGTTAACAGATCATAACTAACATCCAGTCCACTGGTTTATGTGCAAAAACTCGTACTCATGCAAAAGACTTAAAATTTAGAATCTAGAGTACACGACTGACTACACCGAGGGACATGCGGACTACTTTGTTTATTTTTTATTTTTTGTAGCCGATGCCTGTGTTAATATTGCAAGTATACCTCTTAAAGCAGAGAACTAAAAAAAAAATCTGCATCCGCGGGGAAACAATCCAGCAGACAGCTAGGGGGAAATTAGTCAAAAACAAAACCTGAAGAGAGAGGGCATAATTTAGCCTGTTGATTTAAATATAACTAAGAATATATTATATATCAAGAGCATTCATATGATGCTAAAACAAAAAAATAGGTCGATGGTAAGAATGTGGGGTCTATTTATTAGACAGCGTGATGAGCACAAGCAGAACATGAAGTGATTCTGTCAAACAGCAATACCGTGATATTTGTTTATTGTTTTCTGCCGTGGCTCCCTGTATTGCTAAAACCTAAAAGCTTTATTTATCTGCTGCACCCCCCCCCAAATCGAAATCCATATTGTCAAAAAATTTGACCACTGAATGAAAACAAATGCAGCCGGATTGAAAAAAAATAAGAATATCTCCATTATTTTCTAAAAGAAATAATTGCAGTTCCTCTGAGTAAACTAACACCCGTATTGATTTTCATTGTCCCCCAAATTGCCCCATACATTCTGTTCTGTACCATCTAATGAAAGGTGTTTCGTGATTTGTGCAGCATAATTGTGGAAATAATGCATGTTCTTCCTGGAGGATTATTTTATTTTCTGTTGTTTTCCATCACCGAGTGAGAGTCTTTAAAGCTTTTAATTACCCTCTCACCTGTTAACATTCCCCTGCTATTTATGCAGGTTTATTTATTTATTTCAGCTTGATCCATGATCTGCAGGCTAATGACAAAAACACAACAGGATCACATTTAAGCTCACTTCGGGCACGGCCAAGTGCTACGCATACCTAAATCGTCGCCCACTGTAAGTGTCCAATCGCGTAATGACTTGTAACGCTTCCACCCAATCACGAGGAAGCAAGAAAACAATGGGCGGGTCTCGAGCTGCTCCAGAGAGGGACATTGAGATAGTTGAGGAGAGGAGGTTTGCTGGGCATGAATGCCACTCGTTGCGTGTCCCTATAATTTGGAGAGGTGTATGCAGCGCACGGCCCGTTCGCCTTTCCAGGTGGAAATCCAGGAGGAGCTGAGAACAATTTTAACTGGGAGGACTGGTGAACCCGGTTCAGGACAGGTGAAATTCCCAGCAGGCTGCTTTGAGACTCAGGATCGATTCAGATGTAGGGAAATACCCAACAGCGTATCTCTGCTCGGGTAGGAACACTACAAATACATGCATCTAAGAAAATCTGAAAACTAATGATCCTTTTAATATGTTTTAAACTTTCTTTAAAGAAGTAAACGAGGAAAAAAAATCGAGCACCGAGTTGTCTCTGCCAACGCAGTTGCACACGTTTCAGGAATTGTGTTGGGTCAAATGTCATTTCCTCGATACTCCTTCAGGGATCAGCAGCATAACGGCTTGTTTTTTCACTCCCAAAATAATAACAGAAAATGCAACGTGCAGAATTAGTTTACTGCATCTTGCCGTTAGATTTTTTTTTTATGTTATGGTCTAGTTGCGGTCAGTACAGATATCTCTGTTGAGCAGCTGTTTACCAAAATCTTGTCATCTTTTCAGAAAATTAAACCACGTACACGTAATGTAATAGCGTCGCGTTCATATTGCATTACCTTTTTTTTCTGTATTGTTTATATCATTTTTTTCAGAGGTTGTTGTTTTTGTTTGTGATACTGTGGCAAACGCATCGTGCCCTATCTGTTAAAAACATAAATCTGACTTTGACTGATGATTGACGTATACGGTTTTTTTTCTGTTATTCCAGAGTCACCTCTATGTGCAATGCAAGCCTTCCTCAGAAAAACAACAGTTATTCACACTCATTCTTTGTTTTGCAGGTCATGGATGAAGGCCAGTGGCTACACCGAGGAGGTTTAACTACAACCAGTTGAATTATCGCAGACTCAGATCACTCATTTGGGAGATCACAGGGATATTCCCACCCTTTGGATTCATCTTGTCATACAAAAAAAAAACAACAACAACAAAACAACAACAAGAAAAACTTTTTTTTGCAGTTGAAAAAAATATACAATGAAAAACGAAGCAAAGCGGGAGGAGTCGGTCATACTGCTGATTTGAACGAGCGAACCATCCGACAAGTTAAGGATATAAAGAAAAGGCGCCGACATGAAGGAGAAATCCAAAACGGCTGCAAGGACTAGACGGGAAAAGGAAAACAGTGAATTCTATGAACTGGCTAAAATGTTGCCTTTACCGTCGGCCATCACATCCCAGTTAGACAAAGCCTCCATAATAAGACTGACAACAAGTTACCTGAAGATGAGAATTGTTTTCCCCCAGGGTGAGCACCTAGCCAACGTGCACTCTCCACTGCTTATTTATTTATTTATTTATTTATTTATTTATTTATTTGTTTGTTTATTTATTTATTTATTTGTGTTGGATTTTTTTCATCTACACGTTTTTGCGATCTTTTCATTAACTTTATTTCATTAACTAAAAATTATTATATCTCTTCTTTGATCAACTTATCTGCAGAATTTTACGAATGAAGGGAAACGCATGGGGAGTGACAGGAGATTTTTACTAATATAGTAATATAATAGTAATAATAGTAAACTGGAATTACTTCTACACAACCTAATATTATTATATTTTAGGAAAAAAATAAATAAACATGACTACTTTAAAAATCTGCATATTTTTAGGATTGTCACTTGGTCGGTTAGTGCAAAAAAACAACAACATAAAAGTTAGTGTTCAGTATAATTTAGAAAGTAGGTTGTAATTAGAACACACAGGTTCTCTTCAAGTCCTACAGAAACGTTACAGGAATATTCCCACAATTCCTCGTGGGTCGTCAGGGAGTCTGTTCAGATGCTTTATGATGCTTTTTAATTCCGTATAACCAAATGAGACGATCTGCCAACGTCTCTGCAGGTCCACTAGTCTGCGTGACTGAGAGGAAGAGTCGCCAATTAGAAAAAGCACCTGCAAGGCTTATAATCACCTAAAGCACATATAATCTTACCCAGCTTCTGCGGTGTGATGACAAAATGCTGGATGCAAAATGTCTCCCAAATACCCAGCTCGCGTTTTTCTTTTTAATCTTTTCATTGTTTGATGGAAGCAGCTTAAAAAATAAAATGAAAAGAAAGAAAGAACATGTACACACACACACATACACACACACACACACACACACAGAGAGAGAGAGAGAGAGATAGATAGATAGATAGATAGATAGATAGATAGATAGATAGATAGATAGATAGATAGATAGATAGATAGATAGATAGATAGATAGATAGATAGATTAAAAAAAATTAACGCAGCCCCTCATCTGGTAGATTGATGTTAGTCTGCATGTCCCACCGACACCGTAGACCTATTTTCATTTTCATTTACACATTTACAGCAGGGGGGACGGACACCTAATTTACTTATAATACCCGAGCTCCACGAAATTTCTGATGGAACTAAATAAATTTGATGAGTAGCACAAGATAGCATCCAGGCTATCGTGGGATATACCAGGCAAAAATCCACAAATGAACATTTTTTTGTCACATTTTAGGGAGGGAAAAAAAATCATCATCATCAACAACAATAACAACAACAACAACAACAACAATAATAATAATAATAATAATAACACTTCTGCACGTGTGGGTTTGTGCCTCCAGGGAGACTGTACAGCATGCAGGAAGGGACAAATTTTCAGTACTGTGGAGAGGAATAAATGCTTTAACTGTAAATTGGCCCTTTAAATAGGAGCTCCTAGCGTCTCGGTTTCTGTGTGTGTGTGTGTGTGTGTGTGTGTCCTACTTTTTCCTTTATGCTAAACGAAGAATAAGAATAATTTAAGCTCAACTAAAAAAAATACTATATATATTTCTATTTAATTTCAAAGTCATGCAGCAGCCAAACACCGTTATTTCGCTCTCTCTCCAGGTCTGGGTGAAGCTTGGGGTCACTCAAGTCGAACGAGATCCTTGGACAACATTGGACGAGAGCTGGGATCTCATTTACTGCAGGTATTTAGGCTGTTATTAATATTATTAAAGGTACTGATCTGCAGCCAAAGAACATGATCGACCCGGGCTTGTGAATTAACACGGAGAAGTGACGGCAGCCTGTCGTTTATTATTTGTAGACGTTGGACGGATTCATCTTCGTCGTGGCCCCAGATGGGAAGATAATGTACATTTCAGAGACAGCGTCGGTCCATTTAGGACTGTCTCAGGTTCGTTTCTGTGATCATTACACACACACATATATATATTTCCTTTCAGACGTTTTTTTTCCTCTGTATTTGTTATTCATAAAGCATCGTCTGAAAATGAACGCGATACCCATGCGCAGATAAAAAAAAAATTCACCCACCAGGAAGCTTTTACCCGTTAATTACCTGAGTTATTCTCAACAGGTAGAGTTGACTGGGAACAGTATTTATGAATATGTCCATCCTGCCGACCACGATGAGATGACAGCTGTCCTCACCCCACATCAGCCCTATCACACACATTTCGTGCAAGGTACAGAACGACGCCTTCAGGCTCCACATATGCACATGTTATGTCATTTAGTATTTTCTATTTAATCATAGTGTTGCACTGTGTAGTGTCAGCATTATTAGCATATGATAAAAAAAAATGCAATGAACGCGCGTAATATACGCGGATGGAATTTACGCAATAGCTTGTGCCTGTGCCTGTGTTTTTTCCTTGCAGGATACATTTTAACGCCGTAAAACCCTATTATTTTATTTTTCAATTATTATTGTTGTTATTATTATACGAGAATTTAATAGCAAAGTGTTTGACATCTTTCAGAATATGAAATGGAACGCTCTTTCTTTTTGCGGATGAAATGTGTGCTGGCAAAAAGAAACGCGGGGCTTACCAGTGGTGGATACAAGGTAGGCAGCGCTAGTAAATAAAGAATGTCTTGTTTGTTTGTTTTTTATTAACAATAACGATAATGGTATTATAAAAATTATTTCACATTAATAAATATAAGAAGTGAATAAGAAAAAATGGTCACCAACATTAAAATTACTTTATACCTTTTTTTCTAACCACGAAAAGTTTTAGGTTATTCATGCAGTTTAATGTAATTGTGTCAGGCTATTCCAACAGTTCTATTATTATTTGATTATATTGTATTTTGATATAAATTACACTATGCTGCCTGCTTCTGAAATGCATCACATAAATCATAAAGCTGACTGTTCTTATGAAATGGAATTTTAAGAAATTTCATTATTAAATGTAATTTGTGATTTAGCTATTATCTTGTATATGCTTTACCATAGGTGATCCACTGCAGTGGCTACCTGAAGATCCGTCAGTACAGTTTGGACATGTCACCTTTTGAAGGATGCTACCAGAATGTGGGCTTGGTGGCTGTCGGTCACTCTCTGCCTCCCAGCGCCGTGACTGAGATCAAACTGCACAGTAACATGTTCATGTTCAGAGCCAGCTTGGACATGAAGCTCATCTTCCTGGACTCCAGGTACTAATCAAGACTTTGTTCTATTTGTTGTTTTCTTTTCCCTTTAGGTGTTTTTGAGTTCGTTTCTATTTTAATTGTACTGTGTGTTTGGCAAATGTTGTGTGAAGTCTATGCATTTTTCATTAGGAAAGGGAAGCAAGTTATAAAAGAAGCTCCTGGAGCTAAAATTGCCTGTGAAAACCGAAGCACAGAAAAATGAAATATCCCTGAATTAGCTGCTTATTTTAACTCCTGAATTTCTCCCCAGGGTAGCTGAGCTGACAGGTTATGAGCCCCAGGACCTCATTGAGAAAACGCTGTACCATCATGTCCACAGCTGTGACATCTTCCACCTCCGCTGTGCACACCACCTCTGTGAGTTACAAGTGTGTTCATTTATGCTTTTACAACAGGCAGCTTGACCTTCTCTTGTTATGCAGCAACTGCTCAGGCAACCTGCTGCAGCCACCATGTGCAGGCAATCACACGTCTCCCACACGCACGCACACACACAAAAAAGAAAACGTGCAACTTGTTAAACATGTTAATCTCTGCTGTCTGTGTGTTTCTTTTATCTCCTGCAGTGCTGGTAAAAGGCCAAGTCACAACTAAGTACTATCGGTTCCTTGCCAAACACGGCGGCTGGGTCTGGGTCCAAAGTTATGCCACTATCGTCCACAATAGCCGATCCTCAAGGCCTCACTGTATCGTCAGCGTCAACTATGTCCTCACGTAAGTGTAAATAACGATTTCCATCCTAAAATCAGAGGGAAACTTTTGTTTTAACAGATACTTCATAATTGATTTCAAAATAATTTTAAAAGTATGCTTTTTTGAGACAGTTAAATCTATAATTTGTGCTGATGGCTGCAATTATACTGTAGCTGCGCAGTCATTGTAAAACAAGGTTGCAGCACTACTCCGGTCTAAATAATAATGCCCTTTTAATAGAGATGGCACTGTGGGAATAACACTGAATATTTTACTTGTATAATCATATCATGCACTCTTATGATCTGTACTTGAGGCTCACTCTGTGATACGATGGGTCTTTTTCTCCTGGAGAAATCCTTCTCTTTATCCCTCCGTAGTCTCTCTGTACAAATCCACCAAATACAGAGGTTGCAGGACTCAGGCAGCTGTGTGTTATGAGAGAACAAAGCACACTAAGGCCCTTTGAGACAGCAAGACAAACATCAGGGTTCAACCCCATCAAAAACCTCTACTGCCACCATCGATCTGCAGTCTAAGGAAAGCAAAATCGATCAAACGGTGAACTAGGAATCAATAGCTATCTCATAGCTGTAACACATGTTGGATTTTCCTTGTTTGGTTGATCCACATGTCGTTTTTTCCTGTGTGTGTGTGTAAGTGCATGTGATGGAGAGTTTGCGCAAGTCTGTACGTGCATGTATGCATATGGCTGCACTCCACCTATTGATTTCTTCAATGCAGTAAGGCGAAAACAAAGTAACTACATTAAAATGACAGAGAATTTCCAAGTGAATAATCAAGTCCAACACAGAAGTATCTGAAAGTCCAAGAGGCAAAAGTGGAAAAAAACAAACAACTACTTAAAAAAAACAGCAATTCAATCGCCTTGGCATGGCAGCGTTTCCGCCCAACAAGAATCCATTAATAAATTATGTTTGGAAGTTGGCTGGTGGCATATTTCAGACGTGAGGTGCTCTGACATTGACCCCTGAGGTGGAATTCGGCTAACACAGCTGAGTTTGCACAAAGGCCCAACATTATTGGCTCAGACATAAGTCAGCCAGGGCACAGATAGGATGCACAACTGGCTACCATAACTATACCTGCAAGAGCAAATAACACTCAGACTGTGCACTGGCTATCCAAACATACCCTTTCGCCTGCAGTGTTGTACATAAGGAATGGGTCATATTTAGAGTCATATTGAAGAGGCTGGCTGTACAGGGTCAGGAATGGGCCACAAGGTTTAAAATGCCAGACAGCTGCTATTACATACTGTTGATGTGATAAGTTAAGAATAGGCTCATGTTTGCTGAACACTTGACACAGGAGCCTTTTTCACTCCCTCGACGGTGACAATTGCATTGAGTTCAGCCGCAGTACAGTGGGTTAAAATGTCAAAGATGGCACACAAGTTGCATGTTTGAAATCTGCAACATTCAAAAGTAAATTTAAAAAAACTGGGTACATTTAGAGGAAATTGATTGCATAGATAAGACTTATAAGTATAAATATGTTTCTGGTGTGTGTTTACTCTCGGTGCATTCTTTCCACATTCTCGTAATGTTTGTGGTTAAAAAAGAAAAAAGAAAAAAGAATGATTAACGTTTTTTCTGGGTGTTTGTTAATAATCTCAGAAGCTGAGAGCTTATAATCTTAAAGTTCCCTTATATACTGTATTCACTTAAAGTTGTACTTAAATCCTTTTTATAAAGCCTGACTCAATCTAAGTCTGACCATCTATCTATATTCAACATTAGCCAAGGAGTGTGCTTTAGACTAATTAGTAATTATGCTTCTCGTGCAATGCTAAAATCAAGATGTCAGAAAGAGAACATGATCCAAGTATATATGATGAAAATAGCCTAAAGGTTTTGGGAATTCTGGATTAACTACAGAAACATGAGCTAGCTTGAAAAAATGAAAGTAAAACTAGGTCAAAAATGTTCTGTGTGTTTGTGTAGGTCACTGTGAAGAAGCTCCTCAGTAACCTGCAGCTCATAGTGCATAAAATAATTTGAACCCACAGCAAAGTTCAAAGATGCATGCATGTTAAAAGAAAGCTAGCGATCCGAGGTGATCTCTGAGGGTGTACATGCTAACATCAGCATACTCGCAGTAATAGTACTAACATGATGTCAGCACTAAAAAGAAAACCTCATGGTGAGTGGTGATGAATTTGGTTTTGGTGGCGCTTGATGGTGATAAATAAGTAAAGGGATCACTTGGCAGAGTCCTGTGGAGCCCATGAATTTCATAGCAATTCGCTGTTATAGATATGTTATTCTGAGCATGATCTTGCAAGAATATAAAAACATCACAAAATGGAAGTTTAAGTTAAACTATTTTGTTTATCTCTAACATGCATTTTATGTGTTTTAAAAGGGACACTGAGTATAAAGGAATGCAGCTGTCTTTGGATCAAATGAGCCCCAGCAAACCAGCCTTTCCCTACGCTGACAGTCACAATGAAGAAAGAAAGAGCACCAAGTCACGTCTGACCCAGTCCAAGGCCAAAGCCAGAGTGTCACCCTACCCACAGGTAATTGTTTTTCAGAGCTAAGTCAATTAGGGAAGCTTGCTGTGGATTCAAATCAAAAACTCCCAGAACTGTGATTTTCTTGTTTCTGTCCAGCAATTTTCAGCTTTCAATCCAGAGCGTTCAGAGTCTGACCAAGACAGTCAGTGGGGAGGGAGCCCACTGACAGACTCTGCCTCTCCTCAGCTGTTGGATCCCAGTGAAGCAACGGAGGCTTCTTGTGCCTACAGATTGTATCCAGAATCGGGCTCCCTGTGCTACGGCCTGGGTCTATCAGAAGAGGATCTTGCCCATGCCCAAACGCACCCTCACACCACCACCTGTGATCGTGTTCGATGCCAGAGTGGCCGCTACTTCCTGGGAACCCCCCAGTCGGGAAGAGAGATGTGGTGGGACACCACACGCTCCGTTCTCTCGTTGCCAAAATTCTCAGTGGACAACAGCGAAGGCTACGAAATAACATCCTACCATGGCGCCATTCACGGTGAGGTGTTAGGGTTGAGACCACAACCATCTGTCTCTGAAAATAGTTCTGGCCTAGCTTCTCCTGGTAGCTGTTTTCCAAATGTTATTATGGGACATGCTAAGTTGTTTACACCGTCTCTTGCCAGTGTGCCGATTGCTACCATCTGTTCAAAAATTGCCCGCAACTGAAAGCCAAGTTATTTCACATTTCACATCCTCAAACAGCAAAAAAAAACCCACTGTGCTTCAGCCAAGACACCCAGTCAGACCATGATGCTATAATGATATATGCATTTAAGGCAGAATTTTGCCCATTAACCACATGAGCATTTTAACAATGTGATATTCATTTATTCTATTGTTATCAACTCTGACCACTGATTTGCATTTATAGGACGGGGCCACTGGGACGAAGACAGCGTAGTGAGTTCACCTGATGGAGGTGGGTCCACCAGTGATTCAGGTGAGCGTTACCACGGTGACCAATTCCAAGCGAGCCCTCGAGAGCCCAGCAAGATGGAGACCCTGATCCGTGCCACACAGCAAATGATCAAAGAGGAGGAGAGCCGTCTACAGCAACACAAGATGCCACTGGATGTCTCGGGACTCACCAAAACTCACAGTCCCTGTTTCACCTCCTCCCTACCCCATCACTCTCAGCTCACTATGCCCAGCGTGGTATGCCGTGGCCCCGGAGCCCCCAGCATCGACCTCCTTACTGAACGCCTCCATCACCGAGACAGCATTAAAGTTCTTGGCCCCAATGAAAATGATGAAAACACGACGAGTCCTGCTTCTTTGTCTCGTCTCAGCAGCCCCAGCTCTGACGGAATCCCCAGATCAGGCCTCTCCCTCACCAAAGACTACATGCAGACAGATATGTCCCCACACCCTCAACAACCCCAGGGAAGTCCGCTGATCTATCCAGCACAGGAGAGGCAGCCACTGGACAGGCAGGCGGCGTACGCCTTGACTGGGTACTCCCTCGAGCATCTGTATGATCCGGAGAGCTTGCGGAGTTACTCCAGCTTGGCCTGTGGAGGAGTGCAGTATGATGTGGCATCTCATGTGAGAGTGCAGGCTGAACAAATACAGGGACATAAAACCACCTCAGTTATCATAACCAATGGAAGCTGACGATATCTGGTGAAGATTGAGCCAGCTGTCTAAAAGAGGACGTTACCATCCATAGTGAGGTTGTAGGCATGTGCAACCAGGTGCTCCACACAAAAGCTGAGACACTGACAAAAGGATACAAGGAACCTGTGTGGGGCTGACTTGCCCTTGGTGATCCATTCAGCACAACTTGTGTTTGTCAGGCCTTTCTCTTTTCTTTGTCATTAGAGAAGTTTTTTCCCCAAGACTCTAAGAAGCTGTTCAGGAACTGACTTTTTGCATACTGCCTGACAAATGGAGAAAGTTTGCTCCATTACATAATATAACAGAGTTGTCTTAATGGCAGTAAAGTAACTTTCCCTCCCTGCAAAAGCTGGTTAAACATCAATCCAGTGTTTCTATTCCAAACCTCTCATGCACCATTGGCCATGTTTGTTAACCTGACCTGTACATGATTTCCAAAGGCAGTAAGAAAACGTGTTGTTCCATAGCCATTTCACCTGAAAACTCCAGAGCACAGACCATACTGTCTGACACGTGAAGTGCAACATGGAAAAGGCTATTGACTCCCTATTGTAAGATGTCAGTGTTTCCTGGTATTTATTTGTCAGTGAGCTGTTTTTTGTATGTGTCATTATTTTCTGTCCAAGTAGAATATTTCACTGGTGGCATTAAATTAGTTTTGGTGTTTGGATCACACCATTATTACATTATTTAAAAAAAAAAAAAAAAAAAGAAGAAGTGAAAAAACAGAAAGAGAAACATGCCTCTGATATGGAAAAGTGCAAAATATCCAGGTCAACTTGAAACTGGTTTATGGAATATGTGAAATGCCCTCATTTAGTGTGCGAAAAGATGTTTCCAAACTCACTCATTTTTTTTTTATCTTCCCATGCTCTCTAAATATAGGCATTGTATATTTACTTGCAGTTTTAGCTATTAATGCTTACATATCAGAGTATGATTTCTTCTGTTTTTACATCACTTAACTTTTACCTGACCTATTAGCATATGTAAAATATGCAGTAAAAGTTTTTAAATTCTGTTCCATGCGTTGTAAAATTAACCGTGGATTAAGGCCACAGGTTGTAGCTGTTTTTTGTTTTTTTGTTTGTTTTTTAGAATTCTATGAAAACTTTTTCTGCAGACTTTTTTCTTAGAGTTCTTTTTTTTTCCTCAGAACTCTAGAAAAAGAAAATCTAATATTCTGACAGAATTCCGAGGAAAAAAAATGAAATCCTGGAGAAAAAAAGTCATATTGTCATTGTTTTCCCCAGTGGCCCTAATCCTCTTCTTTAATTTTTAATTGTTTTGATTTGTTATGAGTTGTATTGAATGCTTCAAACATATCTTAAATAAGTTGAAAGTCTTTAGTTTCTTATTTAATTTATGATGTAAATATCAAACAAGGAACTTTTTGAACTGGAAACGACAAAATTATTTATTGATTGGTTTAAAAAGTCCTTAAATCCGAATACAGTTGTAAACATATATCTTTTGTCGGTGTTTTGTTGTATCTGTCAAATCTGTTTTGAATGAACTCACACACAAACTCAAACATGCAGACACAAACACAATGCTGCTGCCTCAAAAAAAAAATAGATACAGAAATGTACTGATACATAGTAGATCATAATAGATTAATTGCTGTGTATTTTTTATGTGGCTTTCATCTTTGTTTTCTTCTAATATTTTAGAAAAAGAAAATAAGGAAAAAAATATAAAAGAATAAGTGCTGCTATTCTGTCTCCCTTTTCTTGCAATCACTGGAAGAGACCAAAAGTAGTAATGTGAAAATATAAACTTATAAATCCTGAATTTTAGATTTTAAGCTACATTTACTATAATAATCATAATACAAGGGTAGTATATTTTAAAGTAAATTACAACATCTGTATACCCGTTAAGAATCAATGTATATACATGTAGTGCAAAGACTTGGTTCACTGATGTGTTCAGACAACAATGAAGCTCTATTGCACCCTTTGAATACCCGGTATCAGTCTTTGGCTACACTGACAATATAGTTTTTCCATAAGATTCAATGACTGTAATGAAAAAAAAAATTGACTGATAATTATCCCAAACAGCTAGCATAAAAAAAATCCTGAACACATCATTACAATGGCAAAGTAACTGGAGCAGTTAAATTTGCACATTTAGCCTCTAACCTTTTCTCAGAGGTAATTCCTCTGTGGTGTATTTTAATGAATGTATGTTGTTTAAATGTAGTTGGAGAGGTTGCCTGCCTGTCTTTCTGTCTGTCTGAGCTGACAAAGGACCTGGACACAGCCTGGGCCTGAATGGAGAACTTCCATCAGTTACCGCTGACGTGACTAACTGATGGTCTGCCAGATATCAGTGGTGCTGTCATTCCAAGAGGCAAAACCGTTATACCACTTAGCTGCTGACATCATCAAGGTTTATGAACAGTGTGTGTGCGTGTGTGTGTGTGTGTGTGTGCATTTGTGTGAGTGAGCGTGTGTTTAGTGCTGAGATACGGCAATAATCAGAGGCCTTTTTTTCTCCTCCTGAATACTAGGAATTTTGCCTGATGTGCCCCGAAGGCTTTCACATGTAGAGTCGGTTACAAATGTGGCCAAACACTGGGCCTTTTGCCCAGACTTCGCACTCTTGTATACGCCTCCCCAACTACCTCATACTTCCTCATCCAAGATCCTCTCAGTCTATAGAAAGTTAGAGCGCTGTAGACAGACTAAAAGTTAAGATGAAAACGCTAAGGTTGTGTGCAAGTGGAAAAAGAGTTTAAGAAAAAGAAACCAAAAAGGTAACAAGTCGAAACAGTGGAGAGAAGAAAGGTCAAGAAAAATCAATGCCAAAATAAAACGAGGATTTCAGAGCTCTGCAAAAGTTTTACACTCAGTCTTTAAGTAAAAGTTCTGTAGAAAGGCTCCAAAACGGCTACGTTTTTAATTACATTGCATTATTTAATTATTGTTGATGAAATTATGCATGAATCAAAGCTACCTGGATTTAACTTTTTTATAATGCATTCGCTTGTACATCTGCAGTTAAGGCAAGCACCACTTTACCACAATTAATTTACATAAGCTTTTCTACAGTGAATTTAACTTCTTGTAATGTTTAATAGATATTTTATTAATGCGCTACAACTTTTAGTTTGCCCAGTCAAGCTTGTCTCTAAAATATCGGAGTGGAGCTAGGAAGTGTTTGGTTAAAAGGGAACTAGTCAAAAATGTACTCGAGTATTTTGTCACTTTGCATCATTGTAGAATGGGAAAGACAAGAAGAGTGGAATTATCACAATTACAGAAGCGCTCATCCTTAAACTCTAACAGAGGAGACATTTTTTAGAAGTGACTCAAGGAGATGCTGGAGAATAGCAGATGATACTCCTAGAATCAAATCAATCACAAATATAACAAAGGATTGTATGACATCACTACAAAAACAGATGTCTTGCGTTAATCGCTTAGTCACTCTTAGGAACTCATCATAATGAATCGCAGTGCTGCAAAATTAAAGTATTTGCAGTTAATTTAACTATATGCTACTGCTAATAAAACGCACAAGTGAATTAGCTTCGTTTGCACCACAAGGCATTAGCAGTTTGAGAAGATAAAGATGCCACCTATGTCATGTGGTTGCCTCAGTGTGGAGGTAAACCATAGAACCACAGGAGAAAGACCCCAAGGTTTCACAACTGCAGTGAAGGAGAAATGGATCCTAACTTCTCAAACGAACACAGAATACAAGAGTGCAGGTGGCAAGGTTCAGAATATCCACTGACTGTCTACTTGATTGATTTCAGGCCCGGGATTGAGGCACAATTGCATATTCATGCATCAATTAAATTGTTCCTTCACCAGTGCCACCATAATTCATTGTGGCGCTCCGTGAAAAGTCATCCTTATGAAACAGCTTCAGAACAGCACAAAGGAAACTGTTTCAACATGTTTTCTGTTCGTGTGTACTTTACGACCTTTCCAGTTTGAACTGACATCTTCTAATTGTTTAATTCCTGCCCTTCTCTGAAATCAGCTTGGAATTTATAACTTTTACATATCTTGCCTCAAAACACAGCTGCACAGTGTAAGAAATGCAAATGTTGTCCTGTGCATAAAAACGTTTCCCACGGAGCCAAAAGAAAAAAAAAAGAAAAACAAAAGAAAAACGCCCAATTCACAGATTCCAAATGAGTCATTGAAGGACAAAGTAGCACAGGACCTGGGAAAATCACTCAACCAGGACTTTTAGTGACACCTCCACAGCAGACCGCGTTGCACCAACAAGACATTTAGATGTTCTGATTGGGTGGACCGGGATATTGAGGTCATCTGGTCGATCTGATTGGCTGAGCTAGAAAAGTGGAGAGGTCATTCTGTAAAGAGGAGAGGAAATAAGTTTTTCACTGTGGAGGCACCTGGATTTGAAATGCTGCTTGGAAATCGTGCCCAATTAGAGTGTACACAATGTACTTTACATGACGACAGTGCGATCATTACATTCATTTAGATGTAAATGTCATCAAGCTGGATAGTTTAAAAGTTAGACATAAAATGATGAGAGAAAAAAGTCAACAAGTAGTTTAAAAGAATATCCATTCCTAGTTTAAATCTGAAGTTTTGCTTTTAATCGCTTTGTAATCTGTCCTTTTAGTGTGAGCACCTGGATGCTGAATGCACTACAGTGCAATATATAATTTTACAACAATATAGCACTCTGTCATAAATGAGTCTAAAAATTCATGAATTAGTTTTTCCCTCTATAATTGCTTTATAAAGTATTTTACATTTTTCCTTAATAATGTCGCTAAAAACTAAGTGACAAATTAATCTGGAGACCAGTACAATAGTTAACCGTGTACTGTCAATTAGTTACAGTGTTATGTAAAAGAACTGGACCATGTGACACTGCAATATGAACAATTCCTTTGTGCCTATATTGTTAGAAAACTTTAAGAACATTTAAACACAAAAAGAGGAATGTGAAAGTCATAAAAAACAAAACAAAAAAATTCACTCTTAATTTAAAACCCACTAATCTCTCGGCAATGAGGCTATTAAAAAGACTACAAGTACAATATCTTGAGCCTCCACACACACACACACACAGCACCGAGGCTCAGACAGTGTGAATCTAATGCCCTTCAATCCTGTGAATCCCTTTGTTCCCGATTTCATGCTT